AAAAACAGCACGGCGATTTAGAGCCTCGCGTCCTCTTTGAATTGCTTCTTTAGAGAATTCAGGGTTTCAAGGCTCCCGAAGCAAGGGCGCGTGGGGAGCACAGGATGGGGCTCTGGCTGGCAGTGCAAAGCCAGGGCTGCTCGGAGTTCTGGTATTGGTTGTATTCAGGCATTTCTGGGGCTTGTGACAGCTTTACCAGCCTCTTGGGTATCCTGGCATTTCAGAATCCTGAGCCAGCGAGCCACCTACTTGGCCTTGACATTTAAAATTTCAGCCAGTTTGGAAGCAAATCTCAAATGTCCTTCCACATGGGACATCACATGTGCCTCCACATGTGGCGTTACTATTTTCTCGACCCTAAATTCAAGTTTTTACTGCACAAGCTCATTAATGCTACAATGTCTTTCTTTTTTCCTTTGGTTTTTAAGGCACTAAGGGTAGCTTACATTTTATTTCATTTTATTTTCACTTCCATACCTGCCCAATAAAAGATTCAAGTAAGACCTAAAAGCCTGAGATTATCCAGATGCTAATAAGCGATACCAGCACCATGAGGTCCCAGAGGAAAAGGTGCCCTGGCATTAATAATCTGCTTTTTATGAGGATCCAGTGTTGACTTTTAAAATGGCTCTAGCTTTTTCTCAATGACTTTTAAAAAGAAAAAAAAAAAAAAACGAGCAAATTGCCAGCCTGTCTTAATGAGCAAAGTACATTATATGAACTCCCTTATTTATAGGGCACACATTTTCCTGTAACCCAGCATCTGAAGGCAGAGGGTACCAGCTCCCTGGTGGTTTTTGCAAAGCTGGGACAGCTGTGAAGGAAGACATGGGTGATAGCGTGCTGGCCAGTTAGTTTATCCCCAGCCATGAATGCTAAGCTTTATCTCATTAAGAGACAGGTAACCTATTTAAGATGGTTGTAGTATTAATACTTTGTATGGAGATATTTGGTTTTTATACTAATCCAGCTGGGAAATCCATCACAAGTAGGATTTTATTTATTTATTTATTCATTCATTCATTTTGGGAGAGACAGGGTCTTGCTTTGTTGCCAAGGCTGTTCTTGAACTCCTGACTTCAAGTGATCCTCCATCTCAGCCTCCCAAAATGCTGGGATTGTAGGTGTGAGCCAGCACACCCAGCCACAAGTAGGATTTTAGATCATTATCAATAGTAGAAACTTGCATCTTCTCCCAATATCTACTCCCTTTCTTCACAAGATCTAGAAATTAGCATCTGCTGGCATTTTGTGCTGTCTGTGGGATCCACGTTTGATTACCACTCTTCAGATAAGCCACCGCTTATGTGTGAAGCGGGTGGGGACATTCAACAAGCACTTCCAGTCCGGAGGGAAATAGCTGGACACCATAAACTACCCCAGAAAGAAAGAAGATGAATGAAAGCTGTCACCCCAGGCAAGGGAGAAGGAGAGAGTTGCGTGTCTTTGAAACTCTGTCGAAACCAGAGGAGGGTATTCTGGAAGAAATCCAACTCTCCCACATCAATATGTCAGAACAGGGAGACAAGCCCCTGAACAGTCGCCGTTTTATGGTCGCAGGTAAACTCACTTCCCTTAACTTGCAAGTAGAGCACCAACCACAGATGGGAGTGATTGAGAAACATTGATTATTGGCAAAAATTTTCAAAAAGAATAAAGATTAAAATTTCTAAAACACTTGAATAGAACATAAACTAAACAGAAATAGTTGAGAAGAAAAGTTACTTTTAATTCTGATGTTATTCTACATATATTAGAATATGTTTGTTTTGGCCTAAATTGTCAATATTTTTTCACTAGAACCTTCCATAATGCTACATCCTTTATGGGGGAATGCACAGCCACCTTCCCCCGTATTAATATCTAGGACACTATTTCTCAACTGCACAAAGGAACTAAGTCACTTTGTAAAAGGAGTTAGATCTGGCAGTGAAAAGTCCACCTTCCTATCTTTACCAACTGGCCTGAGCTATTTAGCGAGCCCCCCAGGTTAAACAGAAAAAAGTCAGATTGCAGATGAGGAGACTCATCGCATCAACTCGTGTCAGTAGAGTCAGGAAAGACAGATCCCTTCATGATTTATTCCATAGTGGCAGCCACAGCCCTTCCAATAAGTAGATTATTCCTCTTGGAATAAGGTGACGGTCACTAGGCAGGTCACCCCACACCCAGAACCTGTCTCTTCTGATCTCTCTTCTGGAGCCCAAATTATTAGTATTAGAGTGCCGGACTTTCTAACAGTGATGCACACGTATTTGGTAAGTGCTTGCTGAGTGATGACTATGGGCCCGACTCTGTGAGGTCCTGGATGGAGAAAGGTCCTATAGAGCAAACAAGGGCAAAAAGATTAGAGAAGGAGGGAAAACTTCCATCTGGAGTGACCTCGGAGGATGATAGGTAGCTTACGGAAGGATCTGGGCAGAGGAAATTCTAAAAGAAGAGACATGTGAAGGTGCAGAGGAGGAGGGAATAAAACACGTGCGAGACCAGGTGGTGAAGAGCCTTGATAGCAACTGATCGGGTAGGGGCCGAATATTCTTGAGCAAGTGGAGATCAGAGCTGGGCTTGGGGAAGACAAAGGCAGGTGGAATGAATAGAGAGGAATCAAGGGTCAGAAGATCAGTTAAAAAAGTGACCCTAAAAATCCACCAAAAAAGACAGATTGAGAGGTGGGAGGGAGAGAGCCCACACCGGGGTCCTGGCGAAGGTAACAGGTGAGAAAAGAGGTTGTGCGATGTGGTGGGGGGAGTGATGAGGGAAGGAGAACCGACAGCAAGGAGATGAGAAGTCCAGTCGTAGACGTGCTGGGTCGGAGGTGCTGGCAGAACATCCCAGGGAAAGCTGCCCATCCAACTAGTAGACGGAAATAAGGACCCAGAGCAGCAGAGCGGGACACAGGCAGAAGCCAACGGGAGCTGTGGGCAGGGGTCACTGGGATGGGTTCAGGTAGAGAGTGCGTCATCCCCAAGTCTTCGAAAGTCTCCCGTTTATGGAGCAGATAACCCTAGAAAGAATGTGTTTAAGCTAGTCCTGGCTGTTAGGATAAACTTTTCTTATGACTTGGAGGAGGGTTCTGCTGATGAATCTGTGCGCAACATCATGGGTGGCCTTGAGTAAGGAGAGCTAAGTGCAGAACCAGGTTTCTGCCAAGGACAGAGAGAGGTGGGCTGGACTTGGGGCCATGGATAGAATGAGGGTGTGGCGGACGTCCATCAAGGCCTGGGTGGGGCGGGGGTGGAGGGCAATCTCCCTGCAGAGGTGAGAACGGCATCTTCACAGGATGGAGGGCAGGGTGGGCCTTTTACTTAGTCATATAGAATTGTGAGATCTCAGAAACTCTAAGACATGTTCATTTCAACGTCAGAAGGCCTGACTTCATGGCCCAGCTCCACTACTCAATTGAGATTGTCCAGGTCGTACTCTCCTTGGAACATCTGTTCCTAGTACCTAAGTAGCCTTGAACAAACTGCTTGGCGTCTCTGGCCTACATGTCCTCGTCTGTGCCATGGGAATAATATGTCCTAGGCAAGGTCAGATGACGTAATGTGTGTGATGAAGGTACCTTGAAAACTGTCATTCGCAACACAAATCCTGGTTGCGGAATATATGTGTGAAGTTCCCTATTGCCTGAGAATTTAAAGAAAACAAAACAATTCTGTGTTAAGTGGGCCTCTTTATGGGGTGATGAGGATGAAAAGGTATTTGCCTTCCCTCCCATCCCTGTCATTTAGATGGGCCACTTAATGTTTTTCTCTAGGCCACTTTCCATATTTATGTTATTAGATTAACAAACAGCCCCAAGAGTCCCGTCTACCATCCATAATGGGCAGTGAAGCCCCACCCATCCCCCCGGAGAGACCTCCCACCCCTCCGAGCTGGTCCTCGGGTGAGTAAAGCTCAGCCCTAAGGACAGCAGTGTCCCCACAGCTCTGGTGGGGGGGTCGGGAATGCAAGATGGTATGTGACAGAGAGGAGGAGGCCGGGGCTCGGTTGTGGTGAGAGATCAGTAGGTCAGTGCCTCTCGACACCTGATGACATTTTTTGGCCCCATCCAACTCTTCATCCCACAGCACCTTGACACAGTGCTGGCCACGTAAGAAGAGGTCATTAATAAATATCTGTCAGATTAGTGGAAAGGGGAAATAAATAAGAGGAAAGCCTGCTCCCAGCCTGCACATCTTTGCTGCCGGTGACAAAGTAGGCCCTGTCGACTCAGAGAACCCACATTAATAGTGTGAGTCGCCGTGAATAGGAAGCTGCCCACTGTCACCAGCGTCAACGGGAAGGACGTCAGTGGGTGCTAGAAAGTTGTACATGGTTAAGATAAGTTCTCAATGCTTGGAGCGGGAAGGGTGAACTTTTTGTTTAAAATAAAAGCCACACAGTCGTATTGGTTTTCTCAGGCTGCTGTAACAAAGTACCACAGACTGTGGCCCAAACAGCAGAAATTTATCTCCGCACAGTTCTCGAGGCTGGAGGTCTGAGAGCGAGGTGCTGGCAGGGTGGTTGCTTCTGAGGCGTCTCTCTAGCTCTCCGTGTCCTCACGGTATCCTCCCCGTGTGCGTCTGTGTCCTAATCCCCTTGTCTTTAAGGACACCGGTCATCCTGGACTAGGGCCCACCCTAAGGGCCTCGTTTTAACTTGACAGCCCTGTGTCTAAATACAGTCACATTCTGAGGTTCTTTCTGGGGGGCAGGACTTCAGCACATGAATTTGGGGGAGGGCATAATTCAGCCCATAACAACGGCCAACAATAGTAGGATAAACAAATAACCATTCCTTAATGTATATGTTTTGTATGCTAGGTTTTTTTTATTTGGAGATTTTATAAGAAGATAAATTATCCCAGGAGTTTGAGGTTGCAGCGAGCTGACGATGCCACTGCAACCAGGGCAACAGAGCAAGACTGTCTCAAAAAAAAAAAAAAAAAAAAAAAGGTTTACACACTGTCAGTCACAATTGATTTCCTGTTTATGCCATTTACTCTTTTTATGTTTTAGGTCCTCCTGGCCCCAGGGGTCCAAAAGGTGACAGAGGATCCCAGGGACCCCCTGGCCCAACTGGCAACAAGGGACAGAAAGGAGAGAAGGGGGAGCCTGGCCCTCCTGGCCCTGCAGGGGAGAGAGGCCCGATCGGACCCGTCGGCCCCCCTGGAGAGCGCGGCGGCAAAGGCTCCAAAGGCTCGCAGGGCCCCAAAGGCTCCCGTGGGTCCCCCGGGAAGCCTGGCCCTCAGGGCCCCAGTGGGGACCCAGGCCCTCCAGGCCCACCGGGCAAGGATGGACTCCCCGGCCCACAGGGCCCTCCCGGCTTCCAGGGACTGCAGGGCACAGTGGGGGAGCCTGGGGTGCCTGGACCTCGGGGGCTGCCAGGCTTGCCTGGGGTGCCAGGCATGCCGGGCCCCAAGGGACCCCCCGGCCCGCCAGGCCCATCAGGGGCAGTGGTGCCCCTGGCCCTGCAGAACGAGCCGACTTCAGCACCCGAGGCGAACGGTGAGTCCGACCCTCCCTTCCTCCGGGGGGCAGGGCAGTGTATGTGCTCGTGGCCAAGCCAGCCCCCAGCGTCCGCACCGCCACCATTTGTTTGACAGCGAAGGCCCCGGGGGCGGCACACGGCCCTGCTCCCGTACCCGGCCTCTCCAGTGGCACGTTTCTGAACACCGTCGGTTCTCAGCGCTCATTTATTCAGAGGAGTCGGGCCCTCGGGAGACAAGCGCGTCCCAAAACGTTTCCCTCGTTAGGGCTGCGGCTGGCTGCCCCCGACCCGTGTTTTCCTCATTTTATATTCTCTGGGACAGACCGTGCCCTCAGGCGACCTCATCAGTGTGCAGGTGAAGCTTTCTGCTGTTGGTGCCCAGATGTAGTTTCTTTTTCAGAAGGTCTTAGGGTGCCTTCTAGTCTTTTGATAATTAAGCCTTCGGCAAAATCAAATGTACGATTAGCAACCAAGCCTATTCTTCTCTCTTCTGACCGATTCCACTTGACTTCCCTCGGAAAGACTCGGGTGCTCTTCATCCACAAGCCCAGTCTGGGTTCTGGGTTCTCGCTTCCAGTTGTTTGCGCGCTCCCCACGATCCCAGGGTGACGCTGAACATCTGCGCCTGCCCTGCTTTTTGTCGTTGTTTCTGTTATTTCTGTCACTGTAAGGACTAATCCAGGCACAGAGCAACAAAGACCCGGTCACGGGTATTTTCCAGATTATGTGGTTTGGACGACTGTGTGCTCTGCAGTCACCTGGGCCAGTCCGTGCTCCAGGCATGTCCGTGACCCTCAGCCGCGGGCTCCGCACGGGGACACTTGGGCTGCTCCCGGCAGGGCCGCAGCTTTGGCCTCTTACGTGTAGCTAAAGAAAGGCAAGTGCTTTCTGTGGTTTTTTAATCACGGTCTGACACTTTTGCATTCCTAGGCTGCCCGCCTCACTGGAAGAACTTCACAGACAAATGCTACTATTTTTCGGTTGAGAAAGAAATTTTCGAGGATGCAAAACTTTCCTGTGAAGACAAGTCTTCACATCTCGTTTTCATAAACACGAGAGAAGAACAGGTATGTTTGCCACATACTTGGTTGGTGAAGACTATAATTTACGGATAATTTACATCTGGAAATTGCATACTTCGTGGGGATTCAAAGATATCAAGAATTCCTAGTCACATAAACATGGACGGCGACATTATGAGATTTGGGCTTTATCCAGTGGCTGGAAGCATTCATGGCACTGGAATTAAATCCTCGTGCTTCCCCCTGGAAGTACTGCTTGTCAGGCTTGGAGATGCGTGGCTTCTCTTGGTGGCTGTCAGGAGGGTTGTAACGCAGGGGAGAAGCTCTAGGGCTGCCACCTGGCACCTGTGGAAACAGAGGCAGAGGTGTGAGCACTGTAGGGGTGGCGTGGGGTACAAATGACCAGATGTGCGGTCAGGAAGAGCAGAGAAATCCAATGGGCCACAGCCCACACGTGATAATGGCAGCGACCACCCATTAGACCACACCTATGTGTACAAGGCATTTTCTCCCTTAAACCTCACAACAACCCTAGAATATAGGTATTATTATAACCCATTTTACAGATAAGAAAACTAAGGCCCAATATGGTTTATGGAGTAAATGCAGAGCTGAGACTGAAACTGAGGCTCCTCCAGCAACAGTGCCAATGCTCTTTCTTTGGCGCCACACTGTTCCAGCGACCTCCCTAAGTATCTGCAGCAGACACAACCTTGAAACCAGATGTTTCTCATAGGAACTGACCAGAATGAGCACACAGAGGAGAGCGGGCTTTAGAATACACAGCCCTGGGCCCAGACCCAGATCAGCCACTTCTCATCTTTGTCACGTGGGTTGTTGCAAAGGCTTAAAGACACGCTGCGTGCAGCGTGCTGCACATGGGGCCTGGCCTGAGGATGTGGCTGTTACCGTCATTAGCACATGGGAGGGATGGGTGGTAGGAGGGAAATGGGGCTGAGGGGAAGTCTTTGAGTCGTCTGAGTGATTTAGAGGAAGAGCATCACCTTAGCATCACTTGGAAACTTGTAAGAGGAAAAAACATCAAAGCCCCCAAACGGTGCAAAGCAAAATGAGTGCAATAAAAAAAGCAGACGGCAAAAGCAGCATACAAGTTCTGACTGATGTCCTCTTTGAAATTTTCCTCTTTTTTTCCAAATGTTAAAAAAACAAAAATAGTCCCGCAGACATCTGTTCTGAGAAACGGTAATGTACCGTCACCGGTTTGTTTTTCAGCAATGGATAAAGAAGCAGATGGTAGGCAGAGACAGCCACTGGATCGGCCTCACGGACGTGGAGCGTGAAAATGAATGGAAGTGGCTGGATGGGACGTCTCCAGACTACAAGTGAGTACTCAGAAACTTCCAGATTGCTAGTCATACACTCACAGTTCTGTTCTCACCTCTTGTCCAACTCCCTACAATTTCTTCCTTAATGACCCTGTGTCCCAGAGGCTGCTCCCAAACCGAGGCTCCTCGTACCCAGCTGTGTATTCCCACTGGGGAAATTGTGGTTGACAATCGATATGCTGTCCCATAGAGTTTGTCTTTTTTCCTTTCATGGAATGAATTTCTTTTCATTTCTAAGAAAAAAATCACAAGCCTGATAAAACCACAAGGCATGGTACTTTTGGCCAAGCCATTTTCTTTAAATGCTACAGCAAAGGATACCAGAGCCCAGACAGCCTTGTGCACATTCAGTGTTTACCCCGGACAAGTTTCTGAGGACTGGCGAGCTCCCTCCAGGATGACATTGTGGGTGCCCATGACCCTGGCAGGGTTTCTGGGCAGAGCATGATGATAAACTACTAACTGATGATGCTTCTACACATTGGGCACCATCAAAAAGGTTGCATTGTTTGGATTACCATCCCCTAAAGGTTTGAAGATTCTTCATAAGTCCAATGCGATCTGAGTTCTATAAAAGCAGCATCAAAGAACAGAAGCACTTGGCGGTACCTTCTTGGACCTCCTAGGGACACAGAAATCTCCAGCGCCTCATCCTACCCCAGGGGTGTCAGCTCCTTCCTCCATCCTACCCAAAGTCTGAAGATTACTAAATTGTACCCATTAGAATTTTACTTCTTCTCTGACCTTGCCTCGAATGGATGTGCAAATGTGTAACAAACCTGTACCAAATGGAGCGGGATTTATAAAAAACCCACTTTTGAGTAACTTTAGTTTGCTGGAGGCAGAGAAGCCAGGCCCTGCCGAGGCTCTGCCGGGTGCAAGAGCATCACAGCATCGATAGCGCCTTCCCAGAGTGGCTCAGAGTCCATGGCGCAGCCTCTGGGGCTGTTTGGTCCTGGCAGAGGAGACAATGAAGGTGTTTCAGGCCTGAGGCCGTCGCATAGGTTTGAGGCACAGACCTGTATCAGTTGAGGAGAGGGGAGTAGTCAGAGGTGATAGAAAGGCCAGTAGAATTTTTTTTTTTTTTTTTGAGACAGTCTCATTCTGTCACCCGGGCTAGAGTGAGTGCCACGGTGTCAGCCTAGCTCACAGCAACCTCAGACTGCTGGGCTCAAATGATCCTCCTGCCTCAGCCTCCCGAGTAGCTGGGACTACAGGCACAAGCCACCACACCCGGCTAATTTTTTGTTTCTATTTTTGTTTAGTTGCCCAGCTAATTTTTTCTATTTTTAGTAGAGACAGGGTCTCACTCTTGCTCAAGCTGGACTCGAACTCCTGAACTCAAGCGATCCTCCCGCCTTGGCCTCCCACAGTGCTAGGATTACAGAATTTTTAAAATATCTCCGTATGCACGTGCATGTGGGTAGACAGGCTCCTCTGTACTCCTCCATGCGAGAAGCCGGAGTAGAGGATGTAGGGGGAAACCTGAAGGAGGCCATCTCTTTTTAAAAAAAAAAAAATGGCCAAATGTCGAGATGGAACGTTTGAAGATTTCAGGTCTGCTCGAGCTCAGGCTCAGACCGCCCCCAAGGGGCGAGTGCACATCTGCCATGGCCCGTCAGAGTGCCTGTCTGCTCCTCTGCACCTGTCCTGGGAGAGAGGTGGCTACACCTGGCACACACTGGCACTCGGGAGCTCCCTGGCAGGTTCAAGGAAAGCACCCAGCACGAAAGGAATGCACTTCGGAGACTCGAAACTACTGTGGAGTTGGCATCTAAACAGGAGCAGTGGAGGTTTGGAGGTGGGGTTGGGAGGCAGAGCGTTTTTTTGTTTTTGTTTTTTTTTTAATGTCAGGAGTACTGGGATCTTTTTTTTTTTTTTTTTAAAGAGAGTTAGGGGAGCTAAAAAAATCCATCTTCTCCACTTTTCTTACTGCTGTAAATGCACAAAAGGTCTGGGTTAGACTCACTGAGAAATTCGATCTTAAGCCTTCCCCCCAGACAAAACTAGATTGGCCCCTGTGGAGTGGATTGAGCTGGAACAGGACTGTTCACACCAGCTCTCCCAAGGTGAGACTCTTCTCCTGTTCCATGGAGTCCAGCAAGAATGACATGGTTTGGGAGGAGAGCGCCGGCACTGGTACCTGGGACCTGAGAAAGACAACGTCATCAGACACCTCCTAGGGAACTCAGTCCCCAGCCGCAGCCACCCTGGAGCCTCCTGAAAGGCTTGGCTTCTGCACCCCAGCCACAGATATGCTTCTCATTTTCCACCCAGAGGAATACATATGCACGTAAAAATCCCTGGGATCAAATTTTAAAAGCAGGAATAAATTAGATAGGCGTATTATGAGGTCTCAATAACTGAAGGCTAATTTAATTTGACATGTAATAATAAACATTGCACAAACTAGAAAAAGAGCCAGTGCAGTCGAGAGGGGGTAGCACATGCTCTGGTGTCGGTGAGAACCGGGTTCCGGGCCTTGACCCAACAGCACTCAAAGCTGCGAGACCTCATGTGCATTATTCACCCATGCAAAATCTCCATGTGCCCCTTTATAAAACGAATCTTACCAAAGTACCTACGCTGGTGTTATGAAATGAGATTGTTTATATATGTAGCATTTAGAAGAGGGCTTGGCACATGGGAAGTGCTTGAGAAATATTACCTGCTAGTGTTGGTGTTATTGCTACAATTATTGTCATAATTATCATCATAGTAGTAAGTAATTACAGATTAATACTACCTAGAATGTATGTATTTTATAGTACCCTGATTGGGATGTCACTCACAGTGTCTCACTCAAGTCTCACAATAGGTTTGTGAAGAAAACAAGAAAAACATTCTCTGCACGGCCTGGGAATGGGGACTGGGCTTTGGGCTCTCAGGGGTTTCCCGCCAGTATAAACCACCCCAAATTCTTCTCCTTCAGACTCACCTTTTCCCCTCTACTTTTTGCATCTGCGGCCCCCAAGCATTGTCCCATCCACCTTCCTTTCCCTGCCTCCAGCAATGATTTCTGGAGCTGGTGATCCTAAGAGACTATTACGAACAATTATGTGCCAACAAATTGGGTAAGCTAGAGGAATGGATAAAATCCTAGAAACATACAACCTGCCAAGACTGAATCAAGAAGAAATAGAAAACCTGAACAGACCAATAAAAAATAAGGTGATTGGAGTAGTAACCAAAACCCTCCCCAAAAATGAAAAGCCCAAGACCAGATGGCTTCACAGCTGAATTCTACCAAACATTCAAAGAAGAATGAACACCAAACTTTTTTAAGCTCTTCCAAAAAATGAAAGTAGGTAGACCATCCTATGCCTTGTGCTTCCTTCTTCTGCAGAAGGATTAAGTGCCACAGCTTTCCCATTACCCTTTTTCCCCAACACACACATAGCCCTTTTCAAATTGATTAAGGGTTTTGTGATTACCGCTAAGGAGCAAATGGACAAGGGATAAGAGGCTCTCTCCTCAGCCTCACCTCGTTTTTCCTGCTGAGACCTGGATGAGAAGTACAGTGCTACAACAGAAAGCAGCAGTGACACGGAACAGATGCCAGAGGCTCAGGGCACACACAGACTGAACTCAGGTTTATGTCCCATAAAACCTGCAACCTTACTCACTGAGTCTTATAGCTATTTCTGCACTAAAGTAGGACGGGACCAGCTAAGGGAAAGGACAGCAGGAGACGCCATCTGCAATGGCTCGGAACGGTGCCTGCAACAGGTCCTCAGATACTTTGGGTCTACACACCGATACAATTTCAAAAGAAAGACTGGAAGGCTGACATAGATTGTCAAGATTTTACTTCCCAATTAAGGACATGGTTTTTAAAAATCACCTGTCAGCAAATCTCAGCATTAAAAAAATAATAAACCTACAATTCTTTCCAAGCAGAGACAGCTGGCCATCTTACACACACACACACACACACACACACACACACACGCACGCACGCACGCACGCACGCACGCTGTCCTCATTCTTTGCATTTCACGTAGATGTGTGAAAGTCCATTCTTGGCAAGCACCAGCCTGTCGACTGGAAAGTGGGGTCCATTTGCCCACAGACCTGTGATAACATTTGGCAAATTAACCCAGGTGCCCACCAGGAGCCAGCCTCTGTGCTGGCCTGCGGGAGCTTTTCTAGAGTTGGGGGGTGGCGGTATGAGTAAGAGGTTGTTGTTGGGCTCATGGAAAAAAACGCTGGGTTCCAGGATCGTGTTACACTCAAGAGGACGTATCACCCCTAAATGCAGACACATCAAAGAGCAGGGCTTTAAAGGAGATTTCTACATTCCCTGCTCAGTCATAGATAGAACAAGTAATTAGAAAAATCAATAGGGATACAGTAGACATTATCAACTAACTTGACTTGGTTGATATTTATGGAACATTTCACCCAACAACTGCAAATCCACGTGCTTTTCAAGTGCACCAAGATAAACCATATACTGAGCCATAAACCAAGTCTTGATAAATTTAAAAGAACTGAAACTATACAGAGTTTGTTCTCTGGCCACAATAATTAAATTAAAAATCAATAACAAAAAGGTAATCTGTAAACTCCTAAATATTTGGAAATTAAATGACACACTTCTACATAACCCATGGCTGAAAAAAGAAATCACAAAGAAATATGAAAATGTTTTAAAGAAAATGAAAACATATCAAAATGTATAGGATGCAGCTAAAAGAGTGTTTAAGGAGGGACATTTTATGGCTTTAAAAGACATATATTAGGCCAGGCTCAGTGGCTCACGCCTGTAATCCTAGCACTCTGGGAGGCCCAGGCAGGGGAGGATCCCTTGAGGTCAGGAGTTCAAGACCAGCCTGAGCAAGAGCGAGACCCTGTTTCTACTACAAATAGAAAAATTAGCCGGGTGTGGTGGTGCGCACCTGTAGTCCCAGCTACTCTGGAGGCTGAGGCAGGAGGATAGCTTGAGCCCATGAGTTTGAGGTTGCAGTGAGCTATGATGATACCACTGCACTCTAGCTAGGGTAACAGAGCGAGACTCTGTCTCAAAAAAAAAAGACACATATTAGAAACATTTTTTAAAGGTTGAAAATCAATAATCTAAACTTTTACCAGGGTAGAAAAAGATCAAATAATTAATCCCTAAGTAAGTAGAAGGAAGGAAATAAAGACTAGAGAGCAATGCAGTAGAAAACGGACAATCTAGAGGATCTGTGAAACCAGGAGCATGTCAAAGCTGATCTTTCTGCTCTGGACGGAATAAATGTCAGTGTGTTGTTTGGCAGACTGTCACTGTGAATGGAGGCAGCTGGCTAGGTGTGGGAATTGAATACATATGAGACGTAGGCTCTGCCCACCTGCTCAGAACAGAGCTCTGAGGCAGCTTTCGAAGGGCCCTCTTGCCCGCCCTGCTTGCAGTTGCCCACCTTAGATCACTAGAGATGTGAAAGTCTTCCTGAGAATCTCCCCAACACACTTGAACCTCCTCTATTCTGTCCACAGGAAGTCATTTGGTGGGAGGATGCTGTCAAGTAACAGTTGATATCATCTGTGATGTCATCTTGACAAAGATAAAACAAGGGGGCCTTTCTGTCCATGCAGACTGCTCTGTATATTACACCTTGTGTTTTTAGAATATAGGACCATAGAATGGAGGGGACCAGAAAAGAACCTTCAGCATCCTCTGAGTCAGTAATAACTCACGCTGGTCCACACTTATGTTTCAGGCCACAAGAGGAATCTTCTATAATACAGACCCTTGTAGCGGAAGAAAAGTTTGCTGCAAGACATACTCACTACTAAGATTTCTCTGTTTTGTGCTAGGGCCTTACCAGCAGAAGTCTCTTGGCCACAAAGCACCGGTCAATCTTGTGGTCAATGAGAGAGTATTTTTTTTTTTTTAAACATGAACGGTTTATTGCACAGATTAAAAAAAAGTATTAACAGATCCAGA